AACACAGGTTAGGGCGCACGGAACACCCTCAAGGCACACACACCTCACACAAGCTTACCATTTGGCGGGGTCCATCCTTCCCTGGATCTCAAGACACAGAGAATCCAGGATCTCAGCAAGAGATATCGTATCTTTCTTACCTGCCTAAGTCTTAGCCTGTCTTATAACTCTGGTCAATGCAGAAATGGGTCGCTGGCACTGCAAATCTGACTTTCCCTGCCACCTGAAGTCTAGATCAGAGCTGGCCTCACCGCCCACTTCTGTCTCACTAGTGTTTGGGGCTGTGACTGTATGACATGCCTAGACTTACCCAATAGTAAATAGCCACGTGTGATTCTGAATGGCATCCTTCCTGCTCTGAACTAGAAAACTCGCTCAGACCACAGGGTCCCAGGTCTGGGACAACTCGTGTCATTTCTCCAGGACTCTGAAGCCAAAACACAGAGACGTCAGCCAGACCCTGAGTCAGCGAATGCCGCCACAAGCTGGAGCTCCTCATGGACGTGTTTTCCTGTTGCTACAAGTGTTCCGCTAGCTGAAAGCAACAAATCTCTCATTTAGGTGGCATGAATCACCACTTTGCACAGATCCAGAGAAAAAGTCCACAGGAATGGGAGGAGGTGGGTCAAATACCAAAACCTTTCGCATCTGGTCCCAATGCTAAGGCGGGTATATAAACATGGCAACAACCACGGGAATGACAAGTAATTGAGAAACAAGAAACAATGCACCAAAGTTAACTCCCAGTGACATGAACACTGGGCTTCTGACATTAGGAGGTGGCATGTTGGTTTGCAAATGAAAAGCCCATTTCTCAAAAAAGGTGGGGCAAAGGCTGTTCTGGGGGCTGGAGGAAATCCTACTCGGCCTGAAAACCGGGCTCAATTCATCAGACACTCACCTGAGCCGAGAGTCCACTGCTCAGAGCCATGGTTTACTCATCTATAAAATGGGAAGAGCAAACGGAAACAGAATAGCCATTGCAACAAAAAGCACCTAGATCTGAACATTGTCACTTAACAAGCAACACGGAGTTACACTTTCTGAGGCAGGAAAACGGAGACAATACCCAACGTCAAAAGGATATGGTGGAACTGAGTAACGGCTGACGTAAAGTGCTCATCACAGCACCAGACAGACACACACGGAGTGTTCCGTAACCAAAATGCCTAAGACTTACTGCTCCCAACACTGGCCAGCGAGGTGCCAAGCCCTTGCATGATTGATCTTGTCACACTTGATATGTCTGCCCTTCGAGGTTACTATAAACACGCTCTAATGTGTAAATATGAACACAAGAAAGTTCCCAGAAGGATATACACTAAAATGCTAATGGTAGTTGATCTCTCGGTGCTAGGAATGATTTCTTTGCTTACCTGCTTTTTCTAAAATTTTCTACAAACATCCCTTAGTAAGGTGTATTCCTATTTTTTTATGCTGAAATACATTAAAATACAATAAAAATCAAGACACTGCTCACAAGAATGAGCCCCCGCGTGAGCCATTCTTTCGGAGGGAAGGGCTAAGAAAAGCACTGCTCTGCTGGCGCGTGCTCTGCTTTTTAATAAGACTCAGCCGACTTGTCCCCTTCTTCACTCTGCCACCGGGGAGTACAGTCAATATTTTAGTTCAGCCATTTAATTAGGTTCTTATTCCTTCCGCATTTCTATATTAATTTCCCCAGGCTTGAATTTCTATCCTAATTTGTATTTCTCATCCTGATTTTGCAGCTGTTTATATTTTACTACTTTCCCGTGTTTATCGTAAATGTGTTATCTACAAATCCTTTGCAGAATGAGGCGAGGTAAACGTACACATACATGTAAACGACTGATGATTTAAAGGACTGCCACTGCCAACGCCCTTCACACCTTACCCCTGCATTCCAGAGTTCTTGTGTTAGGACAGCAAATGACAGAATTACCTTTATATTCCATTTGAGATTTTTTAAAAATGCAAAACTGCAACATCGCCCTATAAGAACATACCATAATTTCAAAATCCTGCAGTCTCATAATAAAAGTCAGTTTTATTAAATGCTCATTCTCAAAATGACATATATTCCTTTTTTAATTATTAAAAAATCTCCAACCCCAACTCACCCGTCTTCACCCACCCCTCCAAACTAGGTACTGTCCAAGCAGAGGCAAGCCCAACGACGTCCCCTTACACCCCAGGCAGGAAGACAGGAGGTCCCCAGAGGCCGAGGCATGCTGCTGTTACCACCCACACTGCAATGCCCGCATGTGGGGGTTAGAATGGGAGCAGCTAACAAAACAAACAGGAGCGCGATCTGACAGACGACTTATAATTTATACCAATTTACAGACACTGTAGGTGCCCACCAATTCAAGAGAACAGACAGAGCTAATCGCACAGAGGAAGCCAGCCACCCCCCATCCCCACTGCCCCCGTCAGGCCCTCCCATCAGGAGTCATTAGGAAGCCCAAACAGCTTCACAGTTCCTGTTTCCCGACTACTGTCATATTTGCCATCTTTGTCATCACAGGCAAATGCCAGCAGAGGCCTTTTGGGGTGCCAAGCCACAGTGAAGGTCGGGGACTCACACTGCACCTCCCATAGCTTGTCTCCTATAAAAATCAATATAGAGAAACGAATCAATACATGAATAATAAGAGACCACACTCATTAAGTACTTAGCTATATTAACTCCTTTAACCCACTTAGGAGCCCCATGAGACAGGAACGATCACCCTCCACCCCTCTCCCCCTTTCGACAGAGAACACTGAAGCGCAGAGACGTTATAAGCCAGCAGGCAGCGGAGCAGGACCTCAATTTGGGCCAGTTAACTTAGGAGCCTATGCTTTGAACCCCTCTTCTACACTCCCTGGAAAAACAGTAAACAGCAGCTGATGTCTACTGTGCACCCCCTATGAATCAGATGGGCTATATCACATACATTTATTTCCATAAAGTATAATGACAACCCAGCAAGACAGGCAATGATTTTAAATCCAATTTTACAAAGAAACGGGTGACTTAAAAGGTAAGTCACACCTCAAGGAAGCAAAAACGTCAATACATGAAGTATGTTTCTAAAGCCACAGATCTACCCACTAATCCTCAATGCCCTGTAATAAGAGTAATCTGTGCTTATTCCCAATATTTTATGCCTCCCCCTTGCTGAAGTTAAACACGATCTTCTAAAGCTACTATTCCTTTAGTCCTGCGTAACTTATTTTCAGCCTTAGGGTTAAGATTAATGTAGTAAAACATTTACAGTTTGGTGCCAATTTAAAAATGCAGGATACACTCAATTATATATTTCAAACTAGTCAGCTATGGTATGTGAACGTATATGATGCGCGTGCGTCTGTGTGTAGAGAGAGGGTGGGGGAGGGAGAGGGGAGAGGGGTTTTTTGCTTTTGAAGAAATTCGGGGACAGGAAACCACTCTTCGTGGCGCAAGGGTCTGGCAGCCTCTAGCTCTGTGTGTGAGCAAAGTCCCGAGTGGCGCGAAGGATGGCGGCGGAGCGTGCTGCTTCTCTTTCAGTTCTAGGCCTTTAGCTCCGTGCCACTCGTTATGGGATCGGTCGACAGATTTACACGGTTCAAGAAAACCAGAGCAGACATAAAGAGGCCTAAAATGTTTCCCAAAAAACTATGTTGCTTCATAAAACTTAACATCTTATTAGAAAGTTTAACCTTTGAATGATAAACAGAGTCCTATGTGAGAATGACATTGCCATTGCAGACCATAGAAGCTGCAACAGACTTATACGACATGCATGGGTGTGTTCGAACAGCTGAAAATTACACGGACTGTATTAAAATGAGGTTCTGTTATATGTGCTATCAGGAATATGTAATGAATTCTTACAGAGTACAAAATTGTATCTAATATATGATTCAACGACGTATATGTGTATGTGTGTGTATATGTTATTTGCAGGAGGAAAAAAATGGAACGAAATACACTAAAATGGTAGCAATGATCGTCTCTAACTTATGGACCTGTGTGTGCCTGTGTATTTGTAAGCATTTTCCAAATTTTCTATAATAAACACGTATGACTCTTATTTTACAAACCACCACGTGAAGACATGCATAAAATTCAAACAGGTCAAGAGTACAGCAGCACTGTACCACAGACTCATCTGTGACAGAAACGTTCTGTATTTGCACTATCCGATACAGTTCCCACTGACCACCTCGGGCTACTGAGTCCTTGAAATGTGCCTAGGGCAACTGAGGAACTGAATTTTTAATTTTGTTTAATTGGTTTTAGTAATAATTGATCATTTAAAGTTATTCTTTTTCCCTACTGCAGTCTTCCCCCCAATCTTATAAGTCTGATATAAATTCTTCCAAATGTTTTTCTACCAATTTCACTTTAGTTTCTTTACCTAAATGGGAGCACATCGCATACACGACTGGCTACCTGCCTCACTCATTCAGCATCATGCCTTGTGCACCTCCCATTCAGCATGTACAGAACTATGTCTTTGTCCTGGCACACTGCAACATGGATGTATCACAACTTATTTCATTAGTCCATTAAAATGTAAATTTAGACTGTTTCCCATTTATGTATAAAACAATGCTGTATATTATTGAGCTTTAATAATCATCTGGCTTTTAATTTTTAACCTAGGTTATAGAGAAAAAAATTTTAAACCCAGTATTTGTCTAAACAATACTGTATGTTGATTATAACTGAAAAGTAAACTTTTTAAAAATTACATGAAATAATGTATTTATCTAAACTATTTAGAGAAAGTAATTCGGCCATATCTGATATACTCCTGAGAGACTACATGTGAATTAAACCATAGTTTACATGCATTAGGTAAGACAGAAAATAAAAAGAAACCTGCACGAGATGGAATGGGACAAACCGTCTATGCTCGCACTGCTGCTGGAAGCAAACGCTGCAGTAACCATTCCGTACGCTGGTTTAGCCCTTCGCCTTGGGCTCAGCAATCCCACGTCAATGCTTTACCCAAAACGATGACCACACAAGTAAAATGAAGTACGGAAAGGAAACTCATCAAAGCACTACTTATAATGGTGCAAAAATCAGAAGCCACGCAATAGGATATACTTAAGTATATACTGGTACAGTCAATGGAATTCTAACCCCATTAAAAGTGGCAGCAAGCTCAGCAGCTGCCACCGTGTAAGAAGCTGTCACACTACGGGTGGGGCGGGTGGCCCAGAGCAGCAGGCGTGCAGCCCAGAATCACAGGAACGAGGGTGACACACAGGAGCCGCGTGTCGGGATGGCTGGACCCTTCTCATCACAATGTTATCAAAACCGGCATTCTTTAAATTGTGGAATTTCAAGTTTTTTACTTCTTTGATGTTTTCTATACAGTTTGAATTTTTACTAAAGTATCACGTATTTTCAAAAATACAGCTACACTTAACAAAAATCTGAGGAAATTCTTTTGTAAAATGAATACTCTCCTCCCATTTTTCTATTTGCAAGTTTTGTTGCTTTTAAAGCAAATCATATCTACTTAAATTTTATATATATATTTTATATATGTATTTTATATTTATGTATTTTTTCACATACAGGCAAAAGGTAAAAAATAAATAGATCACAATGCTAAAAAGAGGTTGTACTTAGATGGTGGGACCATAGCTGACACTTTTTTCTTTCTACTTTCTATGTTTTAAATTTTTCATTATAATGAAAGAATTAAAAGTTAACGAAATGCAAAATATTTTCCTAAATCACTTTCCTTCAGACCTGCTTCTGTCTCTGCCCTCTGCTCCCTCATTACCTGACTATAACAGTCGTATTATGAAGACAAATTCATTTATACTAATGCTGGTGAAGTAGTAACAAGCAGAGATGAGAACACAGATGAGAAAAGTCCCGATGACCAGAGCTGAAAGAAGATTCTCGGTAAAGTAGGGAGGGTTTTAGTTACCTGTCTCTACTTCAGCAATGTCAATAAAATGATCTTCCGATGCTGACGCTAGCATTTTCCCATCGTGGCTAAAACTGAGGGTCCTCACAGGCCAATCCAGCCTGTAACACGCAGGAGACAGAGGAGACATTAGAATTACCCAATAAGAGGGCACGATTTCACCCCAAATGAAGTAAATTTTCCCAACAACGAAAGTGCTGGCAGAGTCGCTTACCTGGAAAAGCACCGAACACACACTAATTCATCCACATCCCAGAGGCTGACCAAAGCATCTGCACTTCCTGTGGCAAAGTACTTCCCCATGGGATCGAACTTGATGCAGATGCAGTTAGAAGGATGGGCATTGATGGACTGCACCGGCTTCAGCTCTGGGTAGCTGAGAAACAAGACCGACAGCAATCAAACTGTGGGAAGAGGACTGTGGTGCTAAAACAATAATAGGAGACACTAACGAAAATCGAAGTAAAACAAAACAAAACAAAAAAGACTGTCATTCGAGAAAAGTTTCCTGAAATAAAGATTTCAAACAACATACTGAAACACCACACTATACGCCTAAGAATATGAACAAAGACATGAAAACACTCAGCAGTAAAATACTAGATTTAAAGAAAATTAGATTATCATTAACTTTGACAGTAACACTTTATGCCAAAAGAAGTTAGAATAACATATTTAAAATACACGAGCCAAAAAAATATAAATCGAGGATTTTTATATCTAGCAAATTAAAGGGGCTCAAGTAATAAGTACAATATAATAAAGCACCTATAAGTTGTGTAAGTATGTAAGTTATAATAAGTATGAACTCAAGGAATACTGTTCTCATGAACCCTTCCTGAGGAATCTAGGGAATGAGTTTTGACTACCAAAATGTCTACAGACTTATCAGCACAGGGCTGGTGATGAGCAGTGCATATAGTTTCTTGTATAAACTTCGCGAGGTTAAAAGGAAAGGTATAAAATGGAACGGCTGTAAACTCTGACAATATACAGTATTACTATTGTTTTAAATGGAGAAAGAATGAGGAAAAGACACTAAGAGCAAAACTTACTATTTTAAGTAATTACATTGGTGCTGGTGGTGGTGCTGGTGGTGGTAGTTATTCTGTGAAAACTGTACGTGTAACATGGAATAAAGGTAATAACCATGAGATATTCTAATTCCATAAACCCATGCATCTTTGAAAACCAGAATACTTGGTTTGGAAGGAAAGAGATATTCACAATATAGAAGAAGTTTAGTAAAATTGCTGTAGTCCTGAATGTTTTTTTTTTTAGGCGAGGCAACCCTTGGTTGACCTCACAGATTGCAAGGACCTTGTCAGCTTACAATCCCTTATTTTTTATTTTTTACACCTATAGCACCTGGTCTTCCTAGGTGGTCGCCTATCCAAGTAATAGCCAGGCCCAACCCTGCTTAGCTTCTGAGATCAGGCTGTAGTCCTGAATTTTAATTGGAAGTTATCCGTATGAATTCACAAGGTAGCTTATTTTTAAAAATACATGTATTTCCCAGCTCTGTCCACTAGAAACGTCTAGAAACAATGACCAACCCAACGGTATGGACATTCTTATCGCCAGTATTATTTCCCAGTAAAAAAAAACCCAGAGATTTACAGAGAATTTTCTGGTTAAAGGTTTGGGGCAGGAAATGTACAACATGAAGCTGAAACATGCTGTCACACCAGAGTAAGAAACTAAAGACTACTAGGATTATGCCAAAAAAAAAAAAGACTCAGGAATCAATTTGAAGAGGCTTCCACTGGCCAATGATGGGATAATTTGAGCTTCAATAAGGATAATAATTATAATAGATCAAAACACATCTACCATGCTTAAATAGATGAGTCCATAATGAATTCTTCAAAAAGAAAAAAAAGGAACGAGTTGGTCATCTTTGAAGGTGATAAGGAACTAATTCATTATCTGATGATAAAGGGAAAAAATCAAGAATTTATCCTGCTCTTCCTAAGTGAACTATATTCCTGGGTACCAAACAGTAGACGAGAAGAAGTGTTCCTTACATTCCGACAAATAAATAGGCATATAGAATCAGCAAAATCCAGATTGGGAGAATCTCTACAGGTTAATAGTCTAGTTTTTCAACAGCTAAGGTATAAATAAAAGAAAGGAGAGGACTCTATAGTTTAAGAGACTTTAAACACATATCACTTTTTTTTTTTTACAAAGGCAAAACTAGAGTATCTAGAGATACTCACTTAGTAGCTAAAACTATAAAGAAATCCTCTAAAAATCAAAATAGTGTTTACTTTTGAAGGAAGGGAGTTATAATTCAGATAAAGCTCAAGGAATGACTTCTGGGTGGCCAGCTAAGTACTATTACTTGACCTAGGTGGGGTTACACAAGTGTTATACATATAACTATTTATTAAACTATACATTTGTTTTATTTTCTAATAAAAAAGGCTTTAAAAGGAAGTTATAGAAACCCCACTGCCCACAGAATAAAATTCAAGTTGCTAAGCACAGAATTCCAGGCCTTTCATAAGCTGATCCCAAATTATATTTCAACTTTATCTTCCCATTTCCAGGCCCCCTCTTTAGAAACCTTAACCGCCACCTCTCCCAGCAACCCTGATCTACCAACTACTCTCCAAATAAATCGTGCTCCTTCACGCTTGTTTTATCAATTGTGCAGTTTTCTGATTCTTAAAATTCTACTCATCTTTCAAGGTCAAGCTCAGAAGCTGCCTCCTTCAACTTCCAACTCCCACAGTCAAAAAGTTTCTTTCCTTAGGATTCCACAGCGAACTTCCAGCTTTTCTAAAATAAAACCTATTTTACTCTGCTTTCCATTGCTCACCCAGGATAGTATAAAAAATAGAACCAGAAGACCTGAATTTCAATTCCACAATTTCATTCATTAGAGTACATATTTACAGGTACTGGGCTAGGCACTAGGAATTAAACAGTAACAAGTTAACACAGTCCCCACCCTCATGGAATTTAAATTTAATTGAAAATATAGACAAGTAAGTATGCAATTACAATATAAAATGAGGAATGCTTCCAAAGGAAGCACGTAACATAAGCCTCTAACCTGGGGGATGGCTTCCCTGGAGGGAATGTAATATTTAAGCTGAGACTTTAAGGGTACAAGTCAGCTATAATTCAAGGTGAATCCAGTTCTAGTGCTCACCTGCTGACTAGTTACTTAACCTCTCTGAATCCCAGATCCCTACTTATCCAAAGGGAAGCACATCATGAATCCCCTAAAATTTCTGTGAGGACTCAGCAAAATATAAGGCGCCTGGCTCAAAAGTGCTCAGCAGAAGTTAGGGTTATTATTGTCTGTCCTTTAAGCTCCTTCAAGATAGACTAACATCTAATTCATCTCTGTATCCCCCACAGTACCCAGCTGTTAAAGATATGACAGTCCTCTAAGCTAGGACCTCCTCACCTGAGGATGTTGATACAACCATTGCCATTTGTCAGGAAGAACATGTTATTGTCATTGTTCCAGGAGATTTCATTGACCTCGAACTTGAACTGTTCCTCTGCTTTGGAACGGTGTGTCTTGGCATCAATAAAAGTCACCACATCATCCTTGTTGCCAACAGCGATGGTCTGCCCATCGGGACTCCAGCAAATATTAATGTTCTCCCCTAGGAAACCAGATACGATCAATAAGATAATCTGTTTGCCCATTATCCTCCAGAAGTTTCTTTTGTTATCCTGCAAAGAAGACCAGAGCTATGTTCAGAGCTCATTCAATAATGTCCTGGTCAGCGAAGGCAACTACCAGCGAAAGATCAACTGAGTCCAGAACATTAATCTACAGATTTCCCCAATTGGTCCTCACAATACTCTATTATTATCGCTTTATTATCCCCATTTTACAGATGAAGAAATGAAAGAGAAATGAGCCAAACGGCAAAGCTCTGAAGCAACAAAGCCAAGCTCTAAACCTAGATTTGGCTCCAAGTCTTACTCGGTCTCTCACACCAGCATTTCCCAAACTCTAGTCATTCACATGCCACTTTCACAATTTGTGTCCTATTCACGTAACAGCTGTAATTTTCTTTATTGAACAGTTTTCTTCAAATTGACTCAAAAAATTACTTAAATAAATTAGCTTCAGTTTTTCAATAAATTCTATGAGCCCGTTTTTGTCTAATAGACATTAAAACATATACATAACCGTTTTTATGTATATGTTTATCCATAAACCACCTAAATCACTCATGCATCCTGCACTGCATACCCAGGGAAAGTACTGCGTCATTCCACCCACAGATACAAGTCTTGTCACCAAAGTCCAGTGGCTCACACCGAACGCATTGATTAAAAATCTCATCAACTTAACTGACTCTAAGATGTACATATTTTCATATTTTATCATCTATAATGCATCTTCAAACCCATCTCGAAATTTTTGGCGTACATGGTTATCCAGAAGCTTTCTTTTCTAACAGCACTTAAAATATTGCAAATTATAATCAACGGCATCTTAGTCAAGAAAATATGACAAATGACTTCAAGGTTTACAGGGCAATACCTGGTGAAGAGCAGCCTATAAATGTACTGCACGACTTGTAGGTCACTTTCTCCCAGACCACCAAGGCCATCAAGCCCCAGCCTTCTTCCAATCAGCAGTTTCCCAAACGCTCCATGCCGTTCACCCTTAAAACTGCTCTCCACCCGCACCGTACCCTGACCACTAAACTCCTATGGCTACTCTAAGAGTTCACTAAAATTCTATGAGGCCCTCCCTGCCTCCCTTAGGGCAGCCTTAAGCATTTCCATTCTGGGGATCCACCTTAAGCACATCTCCGCTATAAAATGAACCACGCCACGTTATATTTTTATGTATATGTCTCACTCTCTGCACTAAACTGTGAGGTCCTTGGAGCTGGAGACTGTCTATTCGGCTCAGGATGTCCCATAACTAGCACAAGGCCAAGCCCAGAAAAGATATTCGGGAAATGTACGTCGAATGAGTATAAGTAGCTTATCTTCCTATTGTCTCTCTCTGAAGTCACCTTTGGTGTTGACAGTAGCAATGCATTTGGTAGTCCTCACATCCCAGATGCGGATAGTTTTGTCTCCAGATGCAGTGACAAAGAGGTCAGGATTACTCGGATGCCAACAAAGCTGGTCCACACTATCCCCGTGTCCCCGATAATTGTTTTCTTTGACCTGAAAGAACAGAATCCAGATGTCACTTCACACGTATGTACCTGCCTCCACGTGTAACTTCTTAACCTTATTCAAACCAAGGTATCTTGTGACCAACAAAAATGTCGATGAGAAAGAAAAGTCCAGTCCTTCCAAGCCTCTTCCCCAAAATTCTTCCCGATATCCCCCCTCCCTTCCTCCCCTATCGCTGGGAACACCTGAGGCGGGGTTCCACATCAGGGCCCTTGCTCTTTTGCCCTCCCTGGCCTTCCTCCTCCTTTCTGGTTTTCGACCCTTACTCTGCTACCGAGGTTCCCAACAGGGGGCTCTGTCATCGTCGAAGGGGCTCCGCTCTCTATGACAGGGGCCCCACGACAGCCGCAGGTCACTCCTACCATTCTCCCGCGCCCAACCTCACCTC